ATTCATTGTCAAAATTTTGAACCACCCTGGTGTGTTGACTTCATGGCTCCTATCGTACCATATTGGGCCATAATAGGATGCCTAGGCCTGTTTTTATTTTTATTTATTTTTCGCCCGCCCGCTCCATTATTTTTGTAGAAAAATCCGTTAACCAAGAAATTGAATTGGTGTGGCCTAAGCAAGAAAGATAAGAGACAGCTTTTCACTTTCTTTGGCACGAAAACTGTTATACTTATAGAAAAATGACACAGAAATACATAACGGAAAACGCAGAGCAGAGCAATTTCATAAATCTTACCGCAAGTTTTTTCTCGAGGGCGAACATTTCGCATATACATCGGATTTGGAATCAAGGCGCTGTGGATTCTCTGATTCGGAGGACGACAATTCGCTGAATGCCCGCTTCTTGGTATCGTACTGTTACCTTCAAGAAAACCCGAATTAGCTGTAGGCATGTTATCATCCCTACCATCAGCTACATGTACAGTACCGTGGTGTTGAGGTGTACAAGGCTGGATACTGCAGGAGTCGTCATTACTATTAGCCAGTCCGGAGGCCGGTTCTATGCGAACGTTTGGCTCGTTTATCTGATTAGAGTTGCCGGTGCTTTGGGCATAGTCCTGACTCGTGTTCGGCACATACATCGGGCTCGGGTCCTGCGTGTCTTGTTGGTACAACATGTACATTGGATTTAGGCTTATGTCATGTTGCGTGTAGACAAGGTTTGGGTTTCGAGTGTCTTGCTCGCAACTCGGATTTTGATAAAGTCCATGTCGGGTGTCACTGATGTTACTAGTGTTATCCACAACTACGGTTGAAGTGTGTACGCCTTTCTCGGGTACGTGGTCACTCCCTGCCAAGGTGACTGTGATACCACTGTTGTTGCTAAAAGCTGTTTTTGGTTTTGTCTCTTCCGAGTCAGTCTCCCAAACCTCCATGTCATCCTGACAAATTTCTATATCACAGTTCGGTTCGCCGTGGTCGGGGTCGATGTTGTCTATTTGTCCGTTCTCAGCCGCGGGATCGGATACCACAGTCAGGTAGTCATCAAGGTCCTTACCGCAGCCTTCCTCACAGCGGTAGGTGATGCGGAGATGTCCAACTCCGTCAGCTTGTGTAAGTAAGTAAGCTTCCCGTGGGCCGACATCCAGACTGGCTGGCATCATACTGGCTTCGGAGAGATCTGCCATATCGAACGACGTAGGATAGTCCACAGTAGAGAATTAACTGAAGTTTTTTCGTCCGTGGGTTCCACAGGCAGTGGTCGAAATACTTTTTTTCAGCGCTCTGCAATATTGCAGAAGAGTCAAAATTTTGTTCTGCAATTTGGAAATACTTTCTGCAAATACACAAGCCTCCATACTACAATCTTGCAGGTTTATAAGCATGAACTATTGATTAATATGCAAATTAGTGAAGACAAATGTTTGGAAGTCCAAAAGAAACAAAAGATAGACAAGTCAAGACAAGGTTGATGCAAATTAGTGAAGAAGCTCCTGTTGATTCAGATAAGGAGCTTCAGTGTTGTCTGTCCTTGGGGCCAAGAGTGCCAAATCCCAAGTGCCAATTTTTCCTTCTGCAAAATTGCAGATTGTATAAATTTTTCTTCTGCAATCTTTGAAATCTATCTGCAGATTGCAGACTGCAGACAGGTATTTCGAACACTGATTAAAAGTTTTTTCGTCCGTGGGTTCCACAGGTCTTGACAATATGACGACTGGTTGTGGTTCTGATGTGGAGGTGCGGTGTAGTAGTCTATACCTCTTAGTTTGATGTATACTTAAGACCTAGTCCTCGGTTTGATTTGTGTTTGCCGATTAAGCTCCTTTGCTCTTGCAATACCGGTAAGACTTAGTTGTTTTCAACATATACAGATGAGCGACGTAAGTTCTTTGGCAGCCATGTGGCACAAAGATGATGGCGGTATGGCGCCTGTTTTTGATGTAAAGATGTAATTTTATACCTCAAAGACTCTTTGAGGTACGCGATAGTCCTCTGTTCGGTTTGTGTCTGCGGACTAGGCTTAGTTTGTCCCTGATAAATATCTTAGCAGAATCTTGGGATTTAACTACAGTAGGCTTCTCCTCGGGAGTTTCTGTGCTTTCCTTGATTATATTTGCACAACAATACGTTTTGGGTACACCATACTTTTAATACTTTGAGGTAAACACTGTCTGTGATGTAAACCCCCACTGCAATGCAAACTCACTGATCCTAAGCTGGAGATTGTCTATCAGCATGAAAGTTCATCTGAGTTGGTAAATTACATTATGAAAAACTTAAACTTTTCTCCAATTCAAAATTTGACTCACCAGAAATTTTCGACTGAATCACTCAGTCTTCCTCAGCTATCTGACCCAAATGGATATTGTCTATGTGGCTGTTTGTACATGTATCTAAGGCCACACCAATTTAATTTGTTGGTTCTCGGATTCGCCTCTTCATTTTTTTCTGATTTGCAAAAAAAAAAAAAGATTCTGGTTCTGATCATGAATCAACTAAAAAATGCTCATATTTTGCCCCCAACAGTTGAGGAAATTCCTTTTCTTCCTAGTTGTTACAGTTTTTTCCATCTATCAATGCAGTGGTTTAATTAAAAGTTCAAAATTTATACTTTAAATTTTAACCCAGTCTTTTTTGTTGACTTCATGGCTCATATTGTATCATTTGGGGCTATAATAGGATGCCTAGACCTGTTTTTATTTTTATTTTTTTTCGCCCTGTTGCTTCATATTTTTTCTGAAAAAATCCGAGAACCAACAAATTAAATTGGTGTGGCCTAAGCACACTAAATGTTTATAATTATAACGTGTGGCATTTTGTTGCCATGGACAGCAGAAGCAGACCTTGATATTCTATTACGCACACTCTTTGTTTAAGTTTTGTTGTTGTTTTTTGAGTTGTATTATATACTTAGTAGTCGGTACATCCAACAGTTTATTAGTTCATACATCATGTATAGAGAGGTCACTGGTTGTAGAATTTGACATATCGCTACTATACGGCGTCCCTGCTTACTAACGGCCTCTTTTTATTTATTCCAACATGTATTCACAAGACGTGGTGACGGCACACAATCACAAGGACTCGAACCCGGGACCCCTTGGTTCTGAGTCAAGCACTCTGCCGTTACCTCACACGCCTCTACTTATGCCTTGTCCTCAAGGCCTTCCGTGCATTTTTGTGCATATTAAATGATTGTGAATGTATAATAGTCTATAGGATATTCTTGGCATCTAAGTGTCAGTAACATAATAAAATCTTTGTTGTAGTACTTGTATAAGATTTTGAAGTTTTAAAGCTCCCATTTTGGATTCAAGCTCAGAAGAGAAACAGTAAGATCGATCTCTAATAATTACCTTCGCCAAGAAGGTTATGTTTTCAGTAGCGTTTGTCCGTCTGTCTGTCTGTCTGTGAACAGCATAACTCAAGAAGCTTAGTATGCATTGTCATGAAACTTGGCATGTGGGTAGGTCTTGATGAGACCTAGAAATGATTAGATTTTGGGCCTCCTGGCGGCTTTTGTTGGTACTGCAGCAGAACTTCCGGTTTTCATATCTCGCGATCTGGACATGCTAGGGTCACGAATTTTGGTTGGTAGATAGCTCTTGGGGTAGGGAAGAAGTGACATGAGTTTGAGCCCCCTAGCGGCTTGTTCTGGAACTGCAGGATAATTTGTTGAAAAATTTTCGAAGGATGATAACTCAAGAACCGGTTAATGGATTGTCGTGATTTTTGGTATGTAGGTAGCTGAAGGGATGCTTGACATAATCAAATGACAATTATGCAAATCAGGAGCTAATTTACATAATTAATGAGGAAATTCTAAAAATCTGCTTTTTTTCGATAATAGGACTATGAAACACTTGTGACATGTAATTGAGAATGAAAAAAAACATCTGAGGATATAGATTATGTAAATGAAGACCTAATTTGCATAATTAATGGAAAATTGTTATAATTTCATGGTTGTAACTGCTGGGAATTTCGTACTTGCCACATTTGGAAGTTAAGTGAAGGCGAACATCAATAAACATAATTTATTCAAATCATGACCTCATTTGCATAATTTATGAGGAAGTGCTATTATAGCCTTTTTGTTAAGATAAGACTGTCATTGGGTGGAGAATATGATCAACTGATATAACCCATGCAAATTAATGAGGATCTTATTGCAAAATCAATTATGAAAATTGTATAATTCTTCAACCGCAAAGGGTTAACATCATTTGGCGAAGGTATGAGATCGTGGAACTCTTGTTGTGTTTTGTTTTATATGGTGCACCCAAATTTTTTTTTCTGCACCTAATTTTTTAGGTTGGGTGCACCTGTGCTCCTATTCCCAAAAATGAATTTCGAGCCCTAAAATACATCATTAGAGTGTCAACCAGAACACAAAATCTTGTTCTGAACATAGTCCTGTGTTTTTTGATTTTAATTATGTAAAAAAAAGATATGATTGTTTTATTGCTTCAGTATATATGTCTTCTTTTTATGTACTTGGGGACACCTGAAAGACAGGCCACAGACTTGTGTTTGATCTACTCAACTGATAAAATGAAATAAAGAGATGAAATGCTTACAGCTCCAAGCCTACTCAAGGACAGCTTGGAGATGATATAACATGATTATATTATATATATTATGTGTATCTGTACTAGTATCAGTATAGCCGCCGGTATAACCGCCTTTCGGCATAACACACCAGCTTCGCAGGCACGTGGCGTGGTGGCAGCTGGCTACATTGCACCGATCGACTTGTTACACCTAACCCTTGATCTTCTAACTCTAGACATTGTTTAAATCTCTCTAATGACAATGCCCCTACTGTACTTGGTGACAGCAAGTTCCACTCTGCGATAGTTCTAGGAAAGAATGCATTCTTGAACACCTCAATCCTTGGTTGATAACTCTGGTACTTGAAGGTATCGCTATTTCTTGTTCTCCTTTGGGCTCTTGTGTGCTCTTCAAGCTACATTTTCTCTTTGCAACCAACCCAGGAGACAGAGAGACGAGTCTACCTTCTCGTTCCACATCGAGAGTAACGCAGCCAACTGTGTGAAGGTGGACAGGGAGGGGCGGGGTCTGCTGAAGGTGTGGCAGAGACACATCCAACAGATGAGGAACGTCAGCCCAGAAATGTCTGCAGCCATCGTGGCAGAGTACCCCTCACCACAGCTGCTGCTGCAGGTATTAGGATCTGCACACTCGCTATCCATATCTTGAAAGTTCATCTGTGTTGGTAGAAATCATTATCAAGCAAGTTTAAACTGCAATATCCAACACAACAAGTTGGACTCACCCAAATTTTCGACTGCACAACTCCAGTCTTTGTCAAGGAATGGACAATCCACCGCTTCCGTGACGTAACGCAGATAACACACGTGACTCCATGAGCAGTTGATCAAAGGTTGCAGAAAGTCTGTGGTGCCCCCCGTCTCTGTTGAGGGTTGGTTATAGTGCCCTGATGTAGATGGCCTCTTTAATCCCTCATGCAAAGAAGTCCGGTTCTGACAATCCTTGAGAATCTGTTCCTGGGATATCGGGATTTTCTTACACACAACCAGGACATTATTCTTCCTACCTTGCTTTCATTTCGATGTGTATTAGACACCTTCCTTGGAGCTGCTGACTGGAGTACAGCTTCTTGCTGCTATATGTAGCCGATAGGCTTTTGCGGTGAGAACACAGTCCCAAACGTGGCTAAGTTTGTATCCCTCTAGATATAGTAGCGGCGAGAAGCAGAACTCCAGTCAGAAGCTCTGAGGAAGGTGCCTGATAGACATCGAAATGTAGGCAAGTTAGGAAGAATACCTGGTTGTGTATAAGAAAATCCCAGTATCATGTTCTATCAAACTGATGAAATTATTTTGGGTAGGTAGGAATCTGCACTCAAACTCACTTCCCGGTTTAACATGTGTTGTTCCCCATCTTCCGAGGCCTGAGGGTTAGACATATGATTGTACATGCTTGAGCTGAGGCTTGATGGCAGCCCCCTAATTGCCTCTATCCTGTAGGTTGACGTTATGTACATAGGTTAAGGTGTTGAAAATCTAGCTATAACCAAACTGTTTAATGAATTCTCCTTTTTTATAGGCATATGAAAGGTGTTCCACAGAAAAAGAGGCACAGATGCTACTCAAAGATATCATGGTAAGAACATTTAAGACTCCTCCTCACTTGTATAATTGACTCGAGAACATGCTGTGTTTTCACACAAAAATTTCCTGTAAGACAGTGTTGAAATAGTGTTCTTTTCTTATGAAGGTGAGAAGAGGAGCAGGTGTGTTGGCTACCTCTAGGAGAATCACATTTTCTCATAAATTATGCAAATAAGGTCCTTATTTGAATAAAACACTAAAAAGGTATTTCTACCACTGCTGTAAGACAATGTTGTAAGAAGTGTTCTGTTGTCATTAAGGTGAGAAGAGGACGGGGTGTGTTGGCTACCTCCAGGAGAATCACAATTTTGCATAAATTATGTAAATAAGGTCCTTATTTGAATAAAACACTAAAAAGGTATTTCTACCACTGCTGTAAGACAATGTTATAAGAAGTGTTCTGTTGTCATTAAGGTGAGAAGAGGAGCAGGTGTGTTGGCCACCTCGTGGAGAATCACATTTTCTCATAAATTATGCAAATAAGGTCCTTATTTGAATAAAACACTAAAAAAAGGATTTCTACCACTGCTGTAAGACAATGTTGTAAGAAGTGTTCTGTTGTCATTAAGGTGAGAAGAGGAGCAGGTGTGTTGGCTACCTCCAGGAGAATCACAATTTTGCATAAATTATGCAAATAAGTTCCTTATTTGAATAAAACACTAAAAAAGTATTTCTACCACTGCTGTAAGACAATGTTGTAAGAAGTGTTCTTTTCTTATGAAGGTGAGAAGAGGAGCGGGTGTGTTGGCTACTTCGAGGAGAATCGGTCCTGAGGTGTCCAGGAGACTTCACACGTTGTTAACCTCCCATGACAGTGAGAGACTCCTACACAGTACATCTTAATCTCGGTATAGGCACAGAATCTTTACCAAAAGGATGTCTCAACTAGTATATATTATGCATAGTAGGGCTGCGTACCTAAACGTAACATCAGGTACAGGTACAGGTACCGGTACAGAGGTTTAGGTACAGGTCCGGACCTGTACCTGTACCTGAACAATTTGACAAATTAACACGTGTTCTTCACTTTTTCAATCATGACACAGAAACAATAATATAGTGTTGACAACTTGTCAGTATCTTTATTCACAACCCTGGATCAGCCACACTCTCGCAATGTCTCGTGAGACTGAGGATCTCAAATCAATCGACGGTGTTTACGTCTTTTCCAGTGCTAATTTTTCGTCTTTGTGGTAGGATTTACCTATCTTTAGTCATATACATGGTGTAAAGCTATTTCGGTATATACTCGTTACTTCATGATCCGGTATTTTGGACCTGTACCGAAACGATTTTTACGGTATTGGACCGGTACAGTGTACCGGTCCGCAGCCCTAATGCATAGTGATGTATACCGGTTCGCTGGACCAGTTCCGGACTTGTAAAAACGTTTAGGTTCTGTATCTGTATAGCCGGTATAACCGCCTTTCGGCATAACACACCAGCTTCGCAGGCACGCGGCGCGGCGGCAGCTGGCTATATTACACCGATCGACTTGTTGCACCTAACCCTTGAACTTCTAGCTCTAGACATTGTTTAAAGCTATCTATTGACAATGCCCCTACTGTACTTTGTGACAGAGAGTTCCACTCTGCAATAGTTCTAGGAAAGAATGGTTCTAGGAATGGTTCAAGTCCAAAAAAAACTAACAGTCAAGAACCGATTCCAGACTTGTTAAAAAAAAAAACCATGTCACATACCCCTTTTCTTTCCAAACCACCTAAAACTTGCCATAGATTACAAAATCTGTGCTGCAAAATGAAGAAAACATTGCCATGGTGCGTTGTCAAATGTCAGCCTCCATGTTATGTGGCCAAAGTTTCGCCCAGACAACATTGCAAGGTTGCCAACATGCAACTTTGTATATGCCATGGGTTTAGGTCCAGACTTACAAGTCAGGAACTGAACCTAAACCTCTGGACTTGAATCCGGACCTGAACCTAAATGTGGGTTTAGGTATACAGCAATATACACATGTATGCATGTGTTAAACTCAAATTACTGTATCAAGAGTCTTTGCTATTTCGTACTTTCTGCAGTCAGTAATTCGAAGGATTGTCTCTGAAATGCAATCATTGTGTACCTCAGAATTTTTGTTACATGGAATTTGACATAGAGTTATTATAATTTTACATTATCGTGAACACAATAGAAGCCTTAGTTCCATGAAATTATAGTAGATTATAACTTGTAGATCTACCTTTAAAGAAAATATGAAAGTAGTTTAATTACATCATTCTTTTTAATCAAATTCAGTAAATCATGTTTTGATACTTCTTGCACTGTAACCCAATAAATTTCAGTCACTGCTCACATATGAATTTCAATACCTTTCACAAAGTTTGTAGTTACTAATATTTAGACTTGTCAGTTCAGTTTTAAAAGCAGTAGTCATCTAACATTACCTAATAGATATTATTGAGAAATAAAAGCAGCATTTACTGGATAGAGTTGTAAATGATTTCTTGTTTTCAGACTCCCAAATGGATACCCACTGAATAACAGTCCTAAACTTACAACCATGAAAGTGTCGTACATGTACACCTTGTACCAGAAACAATAAAGATCACAGTAGAAAGTAATGAAAAACTTATCAATAAAAGGCAGATAAATCTATTGTGATAGTCGTCGTAACTAAAGTAATACATTTGCACATCCCTTTAATACAATGTAGTTTAAAACTAAGGCATTTCCATACATGTGGTACATTGCCCTCCTTACACGAGAAATACCCCCAAATCGTAGCCTCCTTCGCAGTCTTGTTGGGCGTCGGCGTTATTTTTTCTCTGAGCGACGCGAGTAATATGCGGCCGCGAGGGACGATTTGCTGCCGAGGGAGTTTTTGCCACGGAGAGAAGGTTTCGCGCTGCAACAAGACTGCTTGCAGTCGGCGACTACAAAGGACCTCGGATTAAGCCAGCCTTTCATAGAGTTGGAGCGCGAAGCCTTCTCTCCGTGGCAAAAACTCCCTCGGCAGCAAATCGTCCCTCGCGGCCGCATATTACTCGTGTCGCTCAGAGAAAAAATAACGCCGACGCCCAACAAGACTGCGAAGGAGGCTACCCAAATCGTACCTATACAGGGTGCTATATAGATGTTACTGTATGTGCAGAACAACAATTGTTGGGCTCCGCAAAAAAGTTATACCATGTACATGTACATGTACTTGAACAAATTTATGCCATAATCAGCTTAACGAATTGTAGATGTACATGTAAGATTCTCCTGTCTTAGAAGCAGGTTTGGACACCAGTAATATGGGGTGTTAGAAGGGTATCGTCCTATATTATGCGACACGACGAATGCGAAACATTACATAAAACCATATACGACCTATAAGCATTTTTTGTAATATCTTCTGAGGCAGAATTGAAAAGTATTTTTACAGTAATGTCAGCTACAGTTTTGCCGCCAGTTCCGTATTGATGTCGCCCCTTTACGCACATCAAACTGTTAAACTGGAGGATATAAAAGCCTTTAACTATTTTGTATCAGAGACCTAAGGCGTTATATAGGTAGTAAAGCGGGGAGGGTGACAAAATGGCGAATTTGAGTGACTTAAATAAATGGTTTTAGTTCACATAGCCTACTCAGTGGACTTGTCCTTTAGACTGACAAAAATGCTTTTCAACAACAAACAGCCACTAAGGCCGAAAGTAAGGGGATTTCCATTCGTCATTTCACTCACCGAAAAACAAAAAGAGCACAACGTTAACGTGATCCGCGGCCGAACGAGTTGTGGTAAGTCTCTTGCTTGGGTAAACGATTGTTTATGTGAAGGTAGAAAAAACTAAGGTGAGTACTTGGAAAAACGTTCATGGACACTTCTTTGGGCCAGCATTTGGTCTTACGTCACGCCTGGCCTATTCAAACATTGATCGGCTCCTACCTGTTACTTGTAGTACCTGGCTACTAAAGGTATAGTGCGCCAGCCCTCGGTCAACTACGCACCTCGTCTCTGTTCGCGCTCCTGTTTCCTACTCGTAAGTACGGCATGTTGCTGGGCATGTACTCGTCACAACACCGAATGTAATGTTATACGGCTACTAGACATTTCGCAGACACTAAATGTGAGCCAATGACGTATTTTTGTGTGTCCTATTTACAGACATGATCTCACCGTTAGTTTTCACTTTCACATTTAAAGCGATGCAGCTATTCTTAGCCAGAAAGCTTAAGGTAGTCCATGTAGCAATGTGCTCTTCTTAAGTTTTGATAATGATTTTAATAAAGCTGCCACTCTTAAGAAAGCAAAATATCTCTAACAACTTTTGACAGTGTGGCGGATACAAGTGGGGCGGTAAAGCGTAAAATGGCGACTCCAGTCCTTGCCTAGGGTAAGGGGATTCCTATGAGTCGCTCTCGCTTTGCAATTACAGCATATTACTGATCTACCCGAGGTTTGAATAATCCGATCCCATGCGTTGTGAAAACTCCCTAGTAGAAATATCAAGGGTCAAATGTAGGATAGTCCCTATTTTTGATAGGTGTGGAGCATAGGCCATCGACGATTTTCCTCCATCTAGCTCTGTTCTGGGCTTCTCTCTCAATGTTTTTCTAGCGCATTCCCAGTTCAGACAGCTCCTTCTCCGTGTATCGCCTCCCTCCTTATCCTGGTGGGGTGAAGGCCCCCAGGACCGTAGCAGGATAGGTCCATAAGGGGGCTAGCTATATTCCTCGATGCACATGCCTCGATATAAAAGGCGATCTAATCTAGGAAACAAACACATAGCTTGCATGCATCAAGATAATATCGTCTATGTGCAAAAAAAATTTGTCCCAGAAATTGTTGAAACTAAGCCTTACAAAATGTTTGCATTTATCTTAAGACGGATCCATAGTTCGACGATGGGCTGACATTACTATGTATGGCACCGGACTGTAACTGATACTTTCTTTCCATTTTAGTTCTGTAAACCACAAGCATGAAAAGAAATTGGATACCAGACAGGTGAGACAAAAATTGTAAGAGGTCCTTCATCGATATCTTTTTTGTTTTTGTTGTTGTTACATGGCGACTCCGCACATTTAAATATCATGAGTCATGATCAGGGGAATCCCATCTGTTACTCACAGGCTTCAAAAGTGTTTGCGCATGCTCGAAGGCACTCAACCTATGACCTGTGGAACCTACACGTTCAAAACGGGTCTGGGTATGATGGAGATGACGTCATCTAATTAAACTTAGGCTTGTTGTTATAAGTATTTTCGTAACAGAAAATATACGAATTAAGCGTTAGCATTAGACTGTTGTCTGATAATGTACGATTTGTTACCATATAGTTCCAGATAATAAAAAAATATTTAAACGGAAAAAACATGTGCTGGGCCTTTCCAATCGTCATTCTACTCACGATAAAGCGGACAAATAAAAAAGGGCACAACGTCAACGTGATCCGTACGAATTGTGGTGAGTCTCTTGGCTTGAGTAAAGGGTTGGGTTTGGTGAAGGTAAAAAATAATAATTAATTAAGCCATGCAAGAGTAAGCACTTGGGCAAATGTTCATGCAAAAGTCTTTGGGCCAGCATTTGGTCTGACGTCAAGCCTGGCTGGCCTATGCAAACATTGATCACCTAGTACATGTACATGTACCTGGCTACTAACGGTGTGTTTATACTAGTTAGTGCGCCAGCCTTCGGTCAACTACGCACCTCGTCTCTGTTCGCTTTCCTGTTTCCTACCGTAAGTACGGCATGTTGCTGGGCATGTACTCGTCACAACACCGAATGTAATGTTATACGACTACTAGGCATTTCGCAGACACTAAATGTGAACCTAATGACGTCTTTTTTTTGTGTCCTGTTTACAGACATGATCTCACCGTTAGTTTTCACTTTCACATTTAAAGCGATACAGCTACCCACAGCCAGAAAGCTACGTCCATGTAGCACTATGCTCATTTTTAAGCTTTCATAAACAACGCTACTACTCTCAAGAAGGCAGAATAGGTCTAACAACTTTTGACATTTAGTATAGCGACGAAAGAGGGATGGTAAAGCGGAAGAATTCGAAGGCAAAAAGCCGACTCCAGTCCCAGGAGTGTGACTTGGAACTGGGGGGTTCCCATAAGTTGCCCTTGCTTTGCAATGACGGTATTTTAATTTTTAGTTACTCCCTATAACCTAGAAACTCCCTATAACCTAGCATATCGTAAATAGTAAAGACATGCGTACGAGTACAAACACGCGTGTCAATTTTTCTTGATAGAAGGTCTATTATTCCTTGACGAATACGTTTTTATTATATTTCAGTCCATACCATGGTATGGATGAAATATATTGTGTTCTCTGATGTTTCTTCTCCTTCTTCTTCTCCTTCTCCTGCCACACAGTCAAAGGGATTCAACTCCGCCATCATTCAGCCAAATGACTTAAAATTTGGCATGGAGGTAGAGTGAGCCAATACCCCCAGGCGTTTTTTTCATTTTTTTGATACATGCCTTTGAAAAATTTTTATGAAGGTTTTTTGGGGCATTTTTCGCCAAAAATTTTTTGGGATTTTTGGATCCTGAGCCCTGGTTTTACAGCCAAATGATCTGAAATTCGGTATAAGGGTACCTTGAACATGTGTCTACAGAATAGCAGTCACATATTTGGCATACACCACTTCCAAATGACTCATTTGGGGGACTTTAATGGCTATTTTCAGCAAAAAAGGGCCAAAAGTGCTATACCCGTTCCATGTTCTATCTAAAGAATGGCCTGTTCCATCTGCCGTTGGCCATGGAACACCTGTTCCATTGCGGGTTACCTGAGGTCACATTGCACGTAAGTCGTACGGAATGACCCACACATTCAATTTTATGTGCCTAAGACCTTCAAAATGTATCAAATCTCATCATTGTTAGTATTTGCATACCTGTAATAAGACTAGTAAAGCTTTCGAGATACAATGTGCTTGTTCTTGCATCTTTGATCTCAATTACATAGCTACTATATAATTCATTTATTTGAGAATCTTTGCCAGTTTTACACTGGGGTAAGTTTGGAATAGTCCACTTTTGCGTGGGAGGGAGATGGACTGAAATATGCTGTATTTGCTCCCAAGCAAATGTTGGCCTCTCTAGTGTTAATACTCTTTTCTTATCTGTCTGTTCTATGAAAAGTTTCGCCTGCGCTTTTGATGTTTAGTTTGATGTTAGAAGCTGTCATTTTCCCTCGACAGCAGCCATAAACACACTGTGATGTCATATCTATTGATGCAGATTCGTACATTTTTTTCAGAGTAATTTCGACTGAATTGACAACCATCGTCTTGGCCACTATGCACCTCGACTGCAGCGTTCCAGTGTGTAAGTATACATGTGCAAGTGGTCATGTACATACGTACAAGTAAATATACATGTGCACGTACTCGACACGCTGTGATTCCCCCGTAGCTTCTTCTTGTTTACTCCTTCTTATATTTGTAGTTTACAGAGAAGAACTGACATTCTGTCCTTCCAATTCTGTACATGATTACTTTATTCATTTCGCCCTGTAATATCTTGGTTTGTTGGCGCAAGCCCAAATCGCCTCAATGTTCACTGTTTACAGCAAATAACTGACTTCATGTCCGACCAGGGGAATCCCATCCGTCACTTGTTTTTCCCCAGCTTCGAAGTGCTGGCCCAAAATGACCGATGACCTTTGGAAAGTACCCATTTTTACCTGGTACCTCGCCCTGTAATACCCAACCATTACTTCCATTCATGAAACGCATGACACAGTCATACCGAAATAAAACAAATGCATATGGTTCACCTTTTTTTTTTTTGCCCTTTGATATCCAAAGAATAGACAATGTTTTGAACCCTTTAATGCTGGCTGCCAGAGACAGTTGAAACAAAAATTTCTACATGTTTTTGACGGGTGAATGTGTAAAATGGCGACTCAATGAGTCATAATCAGGGGAATCCCATCTGTCACTTGTTTTTCCCCCAGCTTCGAAGTGCAGGCTTCTTGTTTGTTGGCGCGGGCCCAAAATGACCCGATGACCTTTGGAAAGTACCTGTCAGTAACATATCAAGTAATACATGTACATATTGACTTGTACTACACACAGCCTGAGCTGAGCCTTGTAGGTTTGACCTTGCCCCCATTTTCGTGACAAGCGCTATACAGATCATTAGTGAGCGTTGGCTAATATGTACGGATTGCTAAAATTTACAGTTGGACAGCGAAAGGTACTCTTTCATCCAAGACTATTGGTTTCTCCTTATGCCTCAATTGGAAAAAAACACCTCCTTTTTTGCATTCGTTTTAAGTGGACAAGTATGTTTGGACCAGAAAAGCGGAACAGGTGTCAAATGGCGACTATAACCAAGCGCCATATGAGTAAGGAGAATTCCACGATAACGCAGCTCTTGTTTGTTACATGAAGAAAAGTTAGCGGCACTAAAAGATCCGATGAGCTGTTAGTTTAAGGTTGCCACATCGATGTAGAACGTAAAGAGCAATATTATGTTGCAACACTCTTGAACATTTGTCCACTTGTCCTCACTATTGCCTTAAGAGTATTTGATGTAAAGATAGTTACTGTATTTAATAAAGTTATTTCTAACTGCAAGGATTGTATTTTACATTCTTTCACTTCGGTGAAAGTTTAAGCAAAACACTAACAGATTACTTTGAGAGTCACAAATGAGATTTACTTAAAATTTGCTATGATAGCTACATCTTTTTTGTGTGTGTTTTTGAGGTTTGAATCGCCAGCTCGTTGAGCATTTGACGTGGCGTAGTACCATGCATGATACATGTAAACTAAGATACATATCAATCGCAAATTAAAGTATTTTCACTGGTGTTATGGGCGGTACACTACGTCTTATTATGTCAACAAAATATATTTAAAAGTAATTTGCTTTTTTTCTACTTCTTCAAGTTGGAGGACACCTCAACATTTAAGAGGAATATGGCAGAAGCGAGTACGGTTGATGGAGACGTAGATGCCGAGGAAGACAATGGTGTTGTTGTCCATGTTATTGCCCTTTTTCTGCAGACTATAAGGCTATACTAACTTTGTTCTATTAACATTTGTGAACTGAAGCTACCAAGGTAATATTAATTGACGGCAAGCTAGAGATGTCCTGAGAACATGATGAAACATGATAAGGTAACATTTATACCATAATTCATTTGTAAAGTTTTCATCGTCTTATAATAGTAAGAAATTGATAGATGATCAAGTTGATTATGGACATAAATTAGTTATCTTGTGAAGCAATACTTCTATAATTTTCTTTTAAAAGTACAGAAATCATGTTTAAGAATTTTTAAAAGGTTACAATTTTACCTTCACAGCATTTTAAGGCATTATGACGGTCACTTTGAATTGCATCTTCATGCTAAAATGAGTGCGTAATTATATAATGACTACATCTACACAATTTATCAACAACATCAGTTGAGCCTCTTGAGCCATTGAAGGTTTGTCGACATGTTAATAAGTCATGTTTATGGTCCAAGGCGTACCGTGTAAGTACGCAGAAATAAGCATCAAATTCCCCAGTCTCTAATTTCGTTTCAGGTTACAAGAACATGTCCCTCGTTGCCCCCAGCTGTAGTGATCTTAGGATCAGCAAAATATCAGACGTCTTCTTATTAAGTAGGTACCCTGGTCAATCAACTTGAACTGAATTTATCTGTATTTGGACATGTAATTTAGTAACTGCAAAGACGGGAAATACATTCACGTTCTGATAGCATAAATATATTGACATGATAAATAGCAAGATCTTTCTTTTTTTTTTAATTCGCAGTCGAAGCATTTTATTAGCTCAGGCTAAGTCACCAACAAGCATAAAAACAAAAGTAATATTTTAGGATTCATAGAATCCATCTTCTGGTTGCAGATCCCAGACTGGCTTTTGATACCATTGTGAACAACATGTGTTATAAATGGATGGAACTTGGGTATCGGCTTGGACTTACAGATCCTGAAATCAACACAATAGCACTGAAATGTCGAGAGGACCCACGACCGTGTTGTTACAAAATGCTTTGGAAATGGCAGGTTAAAAACGGGAGTGGGGCCACCTGGGAGCAGCTGGAAATGATTGTTTCTGAGATTGGTCACAAGGATGTGTCAGAAAAACTTCGGAAAAAGAGAGGTAAGGTTAGTTAACAAGTTGAAATTGGGCATGAATTATAATTCCCACTGAACTGCTTCTTCGTTTACAACTTTCTAATTATAAGTATCTAATTATCGAATTGAATAGGGCTACAATAGCATGACAATATAATATGTAGTAATGATCATGGGCAAACCAGTAAAGTATATATAGCCCCTGTACATTTTACAACAGTTATACACGACAGAAAGTTCCGATACTCCCTGGTACGTTATCCACTTGTCTAATGTCTGTGGATGAAATGTATGTTTGCCGAATGATAGTATTTAGTGACAATTCCCTGAAACCCTTGTACACATTGTTTTGAACAATTTGCGGTGATTCAATGGATACACGTCTGCATTAACATTAATGCATTAATCAAATAACTTTTCTCTCACTGCAGGGGATTTCAACAAGAAACCCAATATGTATTATCAACTCTCAGCGGGTATTGATGCTTCTCAAACCAGATCGAAGAGCATTGTTGCCAAGTCAGAAACATACGCTAGTATGTTGTATCATGATGATTATGCTAGAGAGTTGGTTGAGAGCAATGACCAGTATGAGCAGCAGGTGGTCAAATCTAAAGATCCTAAATCTGATCCAGAATATAGGGCCCTACTCCATGACATGGATTATGAAGTGAAAAGGGCAGAAAAGTTGGAAGTGCGTAGGCGTTACCTAGCTCTAAAAGAAGAAAATGATCGCCTCGAAAGAGAATTAGAAATGAAAGCTAAAAATATTGAACGTAGAAGCTTGCAAAATAACGACACTGACTCTGCCATTGGATCTGGAGCGACGAGGTCTCACCGAAGTCTCACTTCATCTACTAATGACGGTTCTCGTCCTGGAGCAGAAACTAAGGTGCCGATGATTGAGTACTACAATGTCGTAGATAAGCAGTGTGAAGATTCAAACAACCAGTGATGTATAACTCAAGTAAGGATCAAGTATCTTAGGCAAATCAAAACTCAACGTAGTTATCAAGCAAACTACGTAGGCAATATCCTGAATGATGATGCTTCAGGCTTTGTCAGAAAAGAGGGTCCCGGCCTCTCTTTTACATTCTAAACTTTTACACAATTTACAGGAATCCATTGTGTGCATGCACGTATTGAAAATTGGAGCCATGTTAATAATTCAGAGAGCCATCGCTATCGAAATTGCAGTGACCTGTAGTTAAAATACTATTTTGCTGTGGTTTTTCTTATGCATGTCTGTTTATTTGTTTGTTTGTTTGTTTATTTTGATTTTTCACAAAGTGAAAGGGGGGCCAAAACAGTACGCACCTGTACAAGTTGCTCTCCCCCATACATAAGCACATATACAACATCAAAGTTTACATAGTCAATAACAACAGGTATAAGAATACATAGAATACTAGGTAATCGAAATAGAAGGTTAAGCATAATTCAAATATATCTGATAAGTCGTATAAACAAGTCTTAGTGTGGTCTAGAAGCAATACAAGAACTACACCCACAAGAAGTGGTCCAAGTACATGGCAGGTCAAGACTGTAATGTGTGTTAAATCTGTTGTAGGGTTGTAGGTGGCCTTAAGTAGTTTGTGCTCAAATGATATAATATCCGACTGATGAGCTGCTCGCTCACCAGTACCACGGAGGTCTGAGCCTAACTTATTCCAAATAATGACTAGCCTGGGGATGTATGTGTGACTAAATGCTGATGTTTTAACTCTAAAAGGGGTTAACATACGTGTTCTGGCACTTCTTGTGGGTCTAGTGGGAAAGAAAACAACTTTTCTCCTGTTCAACTGCCTTGTTACAGAAAAGGCTGTCTTGGATAACTGTTACTGTAATTAAAATATGTACAAATTTAATCAAATCTACCTTTACTCGATTTCATGGATGATATCCACTTAATTTAAAAGTTAACGTGTAGAAATGCAATGATGTGTCTAAATGTTCATATTCAATGGATTACAATCGCTGTAAAAGTTCATCGATTGCCGTTATATTTCCCATTGCATATTATCCTCTTTCTGGAGTGTTTAGTAAGCACATTTGTACATATGCATATGCGCCTCATTAAATTTTACTTAGGGTGATTTTTCGTAATGATCACACTTTTAATAGACTAGGAGCCAAGGTCAACTATGCAGTTGAGTCACAGTCAAGTAAAATTGCTGCCCAAACTGTCATGCTACTCAGGCTGTACAGAACAAGAAACACACTTTGTATCTATAATCTATTCTCCAACACCTGTTGTTTTCAATATAAGCAGGTGCAAACCAGCCCAATAAACATTAAGTGGAAATAAACAGCGGAAATATGACAGTTTGGGCATTGAAATGATAACTCCATGGTGGTGATGGTGATCTTTGTTAGTCTTGAAAACCAATAGCAGGAGAAGGATTTGATAAAATGTACACTTCCAATTAAAGGTGTCAATGATCGCTACCTATGAAATGACACAGACAATAGAATTGTCGCTTTTTTGTCTCCTTACATTTAGCAACTGGATTACTTCCTTCTTACACCATGTGGGAACAATTTCATGCATATATCAATAAAACAAAGTTCTTATCTGATGGATAATGGTCATTTATTATCAAATTTGTACACTTTAACACAATTTTACAATTGAATATTCTCTTTTCTTAACTTCTATGTAAGTAGCAAATTTCCAACATTTTATACTGCAATACGATTGTGTTGCTGATGCTATGAAGTCAATATTCTAATACACAAAGTGTATTAAAAAGTTTCAAATTTCAGATATTCCGGGATCCATTCAGTTTGCTGTAGAAGCATTAATAGCACAACAAATGCTGGATTTAACTCAATATCATATTGATTTTATTTATTAGACTGTACAAACAGATATATACAGTCAGGACTGCCCAACTAGCCAGATGCTATCATAAAGGGCTAGCCCTCAAAACAAGAAAATAAGCAACTAGAGTTCCACGATCTCATACCTTCGCCAAATGATGTTAGCCTTTATGAATAAGAAATATACTAATCACCCTGATTATGCAAATAGGATCCTCAATTGCATGAATTATATCAGTCTGTTGATCATATTCTCCACCAAAAGACAGTCTTATATTAACAAAGAATGCCATTTTCTCATAAATTATGCAAATGTGGTCCTTATTTGAATAAGTTATGTTTAATTATGTTCACCTTCACTTAACTTTCAAACACCCCAAGTATGAAATTCCAGGCAGTTACCACTATGCAATTATAACATTTTCTCATTAATTATGCAAATTAAGTCTTCATTTGCATAAACAATATTTGCCTGTGTTTCTCTCGTTCTTAATAACATATGTTACAAGCTTGAACTTCCTATCATGGAATGCAGCTGATTTATAGAATTTCCTCATTAATTATGCAAATTACATCAATATTCGCATAATTGTAATATCATTATGTCAAGCATCACTTAAGCTACCTACATACCAAAAATCACGATGATCCATCAATCGGTTCGAGTTATCCTCTTTTAAACATTTGTCCTTTAAACCCCCCTGCAGTTCTAGAGCAAGCCGCTAGGGGGCCTAAACTCACGTCACTTCTTCCCCAGCACAAGAGCTACCTACCATCCAAATTTCATTACCATAGCATGTCTGGATCTTGAGATATCAAAACCGAAACTTCAGCTGCAGTACCATAACAAGCCACTAGGGGGTCCAAAATCTAATCATTTTGAGGTCTCATCAAGACCTACCCACCTACCAAGTATCAAGACAATCCATCATGCCCTTCTCAAGTTATCGTGTTGACACACACACACACACACACACACACACACACACACACATACACGAACGCCCCTGAAAACATAACCTTCTTGGCGAAGGTAATTAGGAACGGGAATCAGTTAACAGTGTCAGTTACAACTCTGATAAACATACTATTACATAACAGATGTTGCGGCCTAACGTTAACAAGCTATGTGGTCTGACCTAGTCACCATGCGTTTACTATGATTACATTGTGTATCACATAATATTTACAAGGTAAATATGCTCATTGAAAACAAATCAGTGCCAAATGAAGTATAGTCATTGTTTTGTGAAACGATTTCCAAGTTTGATTTTTTTTTTCAAATGTTTTAGCATTTTTTAAATTTACATGACGCATACATACACATGACATAATAACAACATTGCATCTCATTGTATATACAAGTACAACTGTGTCAAGCCAATTTGTTTGGGTATATACAATGTATCTTAATTCGGAAAATCATACATAGCTTATTTCAAAACCAAACCATAGTTATAGCCTCAGTCTATGAATAGATAATATAGCTACTAAATTACATTTTGTAGTTGAACCAAAGTAATGTTCTTCACTTTTAATTTGCTTCCAATATTAGCCGAGGCCAAGTTTTCTCACAAGACTTGCTAATCTTCCATCAAGTCTCTGACTTTGATGTGTGCTGTCCACCTCACCTGGAGCAAAAATGAATAATTTTATTAAAATGTAGGTTAAGTATCAATCTACAGCTTAATACAGTTAATAGTTATGGAGCAATTGCAGTACGACTTTGTCATGATGATATTTGCATAAAGCTTTTAAACTACAACTTCTACCAACGAAGGCCTCGAAATCCTTATGAGGTAAATCATCAGGATCCAAAATGAAACTGTAAATTGATTGCACCGTGTTAAACCTTTTATGGATTACACTGGTAGGAATTCAACGGATTATTGAATGTCTGCAATAAATGAATGGAAAGTTTAATGTACCTTGCTCCTTCAGCACATCTTGAATTGCCTGAGCGACCTGGGCATTCGTTTTCTGTGTCACTATCTTTACCTGCTCTCCAAGTTCTGATAAAACAGAATATCATGATTATTATAAACTACATTTGTACCATACACAAGTGCCATTAGTGAGATGACAGTTTCTGAATAAAAGGAAATTGTGCCTGATGTAATTTTTCCATCTCTTCTTTCTGTCCTTTGCCTAAGCTAAATCATTTGATATTCTATGCCAAAACATGGCAGTGAATGTTGCTGCTTTTGTAATATCTTAAAAGTTAGTTAAGTACAAACTAACCAGAACAAAGAACCAGAACAAAGTAACCAGATATCGATGTTTGATGACTTTAACAAACCTTTAGATAAAATCAAGCTTTGCCGTATTAACAACGTACATGTTTAAATAAGAATGGCAGAATTTTACAGACTCCTACACCTCAATCATGATGTTTCAAAACAACAAACTGACCTCCGCAGATTGTTCTGGATCAGTTAAATTAACCATACATCTAACAGTCACTGACCTCTAAATGTAGGCCTGTTCTGGGGATCCTGATCCCAACACTTCTCCATCAAGTGGACGAAGAAAGAAAGCTCATTAGGGCCTTCTCTCGGGATGTGCTTTTTGTCAGGACGTCTTCCTTCCATGACTCGTTCCCTGATGATCCCACCAATGCCAATTTCTGTAACAAGAATCACAAGGATAGTATTTGTCATTGTACAAAAGACTGTTTAATCTACAGAAAATCATTATCTGTACCCACCATATTACCTGTATCAACATTGTGTAAACAAGATGTACATGAAAATAACAGTTGTTTTCTTCCTAAAATCTCTATACAACTGAGATGTCTTCTTATGAAGGACAAACTTCATATCATGTACTGTCAATGTACTGACTGTTTCAGTCTCAGTTTTCCCTTATCAACTCTATTGTTTTAAACATTTTATTCAAGAAATGTCTTCTTAGATATAGTGCAATTAAAGGAGGGAACTTTCAGTGATCTAATTAATTTACTTTTTTTTTGGAACTCAAATAGATAATAATGAAATAAAAGAAACTGCCATTAGTCACTCATACGTCACTCATACAAAAGAACGAAACTTGGGCAATGAACAGAAATTACCAGTGGCAGTACCAATAGTACATTCTAAGTCACTAACCTCGATATGGCCTTTTTCCTGTTAGGACCTCCCAGATGAATATTCCAAAGCTAAAGGGGAGGCATTATTGATAAGTTAATTACATATGTAGTAGATAATATACGTATCGGACTCAGGAAACTTTATATTTGAACAAATTGTCTTGAAAGTACATCGTGCATTCAATTTTGTCTTTTCATGCAAGCCTACTATAACAAAAGAAAGTTAACTGCAGTCTTCATATCTTACATGCATCTCATCACCACATCAATTTCTTGTCATTTATAAATTCAGATATTAGTAAACGCATGGCTTAACCCAAGTAATTTCTAATATCAATGTACATCATTCAATAGTTTGCATATTAATCTATTATTTTCTTGTAATTTTTACCTGTATGCATCGAACTTCGCCCCTGCCTTCATGTATGGATCCTTGAAATGTTCTGGTGCGATGTGTGTGATGGTCCCACACAGATTCCCCTTCTCATCTCCAATGCTTGTGAGTGGCTTGTACTCTGCCAAACCAAAGTCTGATATCTGCAAGAAATGGTAGGAAACATGATACACACATGATTTTTACCTCCATGAATAATGGAGGTATTGTTTTTGGCGGCGTATGTCTGTGTGTCTGTGTGTCTGTGTGTGTGTCTGTGTGTGTTTCCGCAACTTTGTAGTCAGCATAACTTCATAACGCCTTTATGGATTGTGATGATATTTGGTATGCTGATAAGTCTTAGGAAGACAAAGGTCAAGGTCAAATATGGGCCTCCTGGTGGATGACCTTGGTACTGCAGCAGAACTTCCGGTTTTTGTATCTTTGGTCCTGAAGGGCAGACAGTACTATTAGATCTTGCCATAGGAACACATGCTTAAATACACTATTTCAACACCTCATGAAAGTACTTGCCCATACTCCAATCTCAAAAATTTTTCTGCACCAGGTAGCAACAAGGGTCTGATTCCCAAAAATAGAAAGGAAACAGGGGGTTGACCACCTCAAATTCCCGCCACAGCTGATGATAGTAAAAAAACCTCAACTTTGACCTACATTTTCCATGGTATCCATCCGCCTGGCCAGACAAGACCTAACCACTCACATCTCTCACTACGCCCACTAAACTGGTGAAATAAACAAAACTTGACCAATGTAGGAAAGTTTAGACCCTACCTGTGCCTTCCAGCCCAAAAATCTCCAAAATGGACCAAAAATTTCAAGAGAAAAAAAGGTTTTCAAAGGTATTAACTAGGCACTACAATCGTGTTCCCATTTTGAGGCCTCTACTGCGCAACGCAAATGTGGTGTCTGCCCTGAACATGCTATGGTCTTGAATTTTTGGTGACAGATAGCTTTTCCTGTCAGAAATAAGTGGTGTGGGTTTGGTCCCCCTACCAGCTTGTTCAGGAACTGCAGGGGACTTTCGGGCGAAATCTTTGAAAGCCAATAAGTCCAGGTATGAACAGCGTATTTTCATCATTTTTGGTATGTAGGTATCTGACAGAGAGATGTACATAATTAACTGCAAATTATGCAAATGAGGACTTTATTTGCATAATTAATGAGGAAATTCTATAATTACAGTGTTTTACATTATAGAACTTTCATACATGTAATGTATGTAACCTATGGCAGATGGAACATCAACAGATACTAATTATGCAAATGATGACCTAATTTGCATAATTAATGCAAAAAATCTATGATTTCTCAATGGTGAATGATGGGAATGTCATACTTGGGACATCTTTAAGTTAATCAAAAGTTAACATCACGATGCATATATTATGTTAATGCAGAGGTCATTTGCGTAATTAAAGAAAAAATTACATTTACATATCAAGCCCATATTTCATGGAGGTATGAGATCTCGGAACTCTTGTTGTGAAATGTTAGCTACTGCATTTATTTCTAGAAAATTCAAAGTTCCACCCGGCACCTACTTATGGTGCATAGAGTAGCCCCCATCTCTGTTTCTGTAGCCGTCCGGCCCCACAGTTCTGTAATCACTCGTATTAGCAGGGTCCAGTGCAATGGCCATAGTGTGTGTTTAACTCCCATACTCTTTCGCAAATGAAGATTGCTTAAACCATGAGTTCGAATATAACATTTTTTCAAAGGCTTAGGAAGACATGACCATATGATCGAACTCGGTCTACCAAGTGCAAGGCGCCAGCACTCTACCCACCGAGCACGTGTAACGCCCGTTGGTAGACTAAATACTGGACTATAACATTTTGATGTGTATATTCTGCTTGAATGCTATATATGTACAAAAAAAATGAAAGTCCTACAATCACTTACTATATACAATAACTTGGAATCTTACATACCTTTGCATGAAAGTCTTCATCCAATAGGACATTCTGGACCTTGAGGTCACGGTGGATGATCTGTGGATCCAGGGAGTGGAGGAAGTTCATCCCCAGGATGGTTTCTTGAAGGATTCTCCACTTCAAGGCCCAGGGCACATGTTTGACACGGGACAGTAGGTCCCCTACAGACCCATTGGCCATGAACTCCATGATCATAGCTGTGAAGGTGTCTTCGATGCACACCCCATACAAACCTACAATGAACCGGTTTGCATTCCTTGCTCGATACATGAAGTTGGCTTCCTCCATTAGTGCTTTGCTGCGCCTGAAAATACAGAATAAGATTAATAATCTTTTACCTGTGGATAGCTAGCCACAGACTATTTTGGCCCTGATTTTGTTTTATTAACTTAATTAATCAATTACACTATTTTAATATCTAACTTATAAACTAATCATTAAAAAATCAAATATCGCATATAAAATGAAATACAAGGAACATCAGACATTTCTAATTATCTTAGGACTGGACACATACTGGTATACTATTGCCCTTGCTTGGTATGTAAATGACGAGCCAGGCAACAGGCGATGACTATTCTTTGAGTACAGAATGTTTTCAAAGTACAAAATATTTACTTTACTGATTCCTCTCGTGATTTGGAATTGAGTTTCTTCACTGCCACATCCACCATCCATTTCTTGTGATAGCCCCTACAGACTTCTCCGAATGCACCCTTTCCAACAGCATCCTTAACTGTCAGGTCAGAGTAGTTGATGGTGCTGATTCTTCCTGGTCCTCCGCTTGGGTCTGAATTCCGAAAAGAATACAAAGTTGGAATACTCCCTTCCTTTCCGTATCAAAACTAGTATGATATGCTAAAAGAAAATGGCATTGCTAATTACTGAATAATTTTTAAATATTCATTGTTCTAGGATACTTGTAACGGTAAAGAAGGTGAATTACCTTCAAGCACTCTGGGCGGTCCATCTCTAAGGATCTGCAGAGCAGCTGCTGCCACATCTCGAACAACAGAGGAAAGACCTCTGCTGTGTTTCGTGGCTCTCAACACCTCCTCGGCTCTTGTATCTTTCCGTATCAGGGCGCGGATGTGATCACTGTAGGCCAGCTTCTGGACACACAGGATGGCGGCTTCCTTCTCTCGATCATTACCAGTTTCTATCAGCTTTAAGAGCAAGTCCACCACACCATTTGTGACGAATACCTGCTTGTTTTCATCATTCTGTACAAGGGCACCAAGCATAGTAGCAATCTCAAAGACAGGGTAGAAGTAGTTTCCTACTTCTGTTGAGTGATCAGGGTCGTCAAGGGCTTTCTTTAGCAGGGACACAATCAGCTCTGCACCATCTACATTCAATCTAATAAGATGCATGTTTTGATTTTCAACAATGAATGCCAAACAGGAAAGTGTGAGGACCCTGATATCTGCATCTCTGTTCCTAAGATACGGTTTAAGGGCTTCTGCGGCACCACAGCGGGTGAAACACTCTTGGTTGTCTGGTGTTCTTGCACAATTAGTAAGGATGACAAGAAGAGATTGGATCATTAGCCCGGTGCTCTGAAAAGAAAAAAAAGTGATGTATATCATCTTACTAGCTTACTGTCTTTAGTATTAACAACTATACTTGAGTTAAAACTTTTGATCCAACACTCTCTCACACTCGTCACACTTTAAAGAAGCCACGTGACAAGCCTCACTGGGTCAGTCTACTGAGGAAGACCAGAGTGACTGGTCGAAAGCTCTAGGTGAGAGATATTTTCGTGTTGTATCAAAATTTTTAACTCTAATTTTAAACATGTAATTACCAACACAGATGAATTTTCATGATAGTATAAAATACAAATATATTGGCGAATGCACTAATGCACTGGAATCAGTATTATTTCCCCTTCAATGAATACTTGAAAACCAGGAAAAAATCTGTCTAGAGAATATGATATTGCATAAAGATAAAGAATCTGATTGATAACCGCATCATGAATGACTCATGAGTTGATTGCCTTTCAAAGTCCCCTAGCAAATGTGCCTTATTTTACTGTGTAAGCACACCGTACCCCATTTCCGGCGACTTTATGAAGAGCCACAAGATCCTGTACGAGCATCTGAAGTAGACCGCATCTCCCCACAGCACGGCAGAACTCAAAGCTGTTATGTGTGCAGGAAATCAGAAGCTCGCGCAGCAATTCAATGCACTCTAGTGAGCCTGACGTTACTTCAGCATTACTTCCATCACTGACTGAGGAGGACAGGAGCTGCAGATAGTCCATAAAGACTTGTGGTCCATCGACGTTGGCCAATGTGTCTGCCATCAGCCGCCCGTCTGCTTCAGCCGTGTAATTTTTAAACGGGATGAAGCAGTCGTTGGTCAAAGCATTCTTCACCGCATTGAGAGAGTCGAGGTTTTTGCATTCCCTCATCAGCTCTATGGCCTGGCTCATCTTCTTCAGGACTGGTACCATCTCTTCCCTTGGCGGAGCAGGTCTTTCAAGTCGGTCATGGCCTGGCGTTTCAGATTTGTCAGCTGCAATAAAATTAAGCCATCCAATTTCTAATCATTATTCAATATACCTCATATGGATTAGAATAAAAACATCATTCAGCTATATAAGTAAAAAAAAAGGTTATTAACTTAACATCACACAAAAAGGCATCATGTAAATGAAACTGCTTTCACCTAAACATCATGGTGCTGTGCTGAGGTGCCTTTAACACTGATTGGATCTGTACAATTAACACCATTTGGTAGAGAGTTCAGGTCAAAAACGTGTGTTTCATGCTTTTGTTGTGTACAGGATATACTATAAACATGTTTGTGTGTGGTGACACACGTACATGTAGTTGCCTTGGACATTTTGACTAAAGTATCAGCCAGCAATGATACACATAGCAAGTCCTCTGGTACACAACGTCAATGAGCGAATTTCTATCAATTGTTTTTAAATCACACACAGTGTTGAGAACACAGTCTCATGAGTATTAAAGGAACCCGCAGTACCATGCAGTAACTTGGGGGAATTCAATCGGTGTGATCATGTACCAACCTTTCTTGCCCAACCACTCCATAACAGCTTCATGTAGAGGTCCAGTGAAGAGCCCACCCACATCATCACCCAGCCCGGCAAGTAGCTTCTTCACGACATCATCCTGATCATCTTCTCTGTCTTTAAGATGTGGCTCCCCTGCACATCTTCTACAGTATCCACAGTCATCGCAGCCAGCATCGCCATTGCCACAGCCACACAAACTGATATAGGGATTAGGCACAAAGCCAGAATATCAATGTACACTCATCCTCAAAGATGGATCAACTGATACAATGACAAGTGTATGCTATGTATGTTGCAATTGTTTTCTTTCCAAGAAATCAAAAACATTTACCTGCCCGGGTATCTTCCTGGTTTGCCACGAGCAGGACACAATGTTCCGTAGTTGGTACATTCTCCACACTTAACACACACGAGACAGCGGCCCCGGCTCCAATCATGCCGTCCTTCAGCACAGATTGTAGCTGACTGCCAGTCACCAGTACCTGCATGTATCATGCATGAATGAAACATAATGTCGTTCCAGACAACACTTAGGCCCCAGAAACAACAGGAGCTTCTTTACTAATTTACATCATCCTTGTCTTTACTTGTTTAACTTTTGTTACCTTTTGGAGTTTCAAAAAATTGTCTTCACTTATTAGCATTTAAATCAATTGTTCAATGCAATGCAATGCAGTCTTTATTAAACAACTCGCAGACTTAAGTCTGAATTGTGTTGCTCATTACAATATTCGGGAAACGTTAATAAGATTACAGACAATCATCATAAGTAAAATGCGCTTTCGTTTATAAATATAATACATTACATAACATTACAAATTAAAATATATCATAAAACACAGATGACAGTTGTTCGTGCTTATAAACCTTTTCTCCTGCAGTCTCACTGACGAAAGGTAGTGGATGCTACCTGAAACGTCTGACCGTTTCCAAAATCCTATCCAGTTGCTTGAGTAAATGTTTTTTTGTGTGTGTGAATGATTCATATACTTACCAAGGCCTGGGTTGCCCATTCGTGTCAGTAGGTCTGGGTTGAATACCCAGACCTTTCCTTGGACCTTCACTCTTATTCTCGTCTGGCTGATTAGGCAATGTAGTCTTCCAGTTTTCCCACAGGTCTGTACAAAGAAAGAGAGAGAGAGAGCGAGAGAGAGAGATGAAATGAAATCATCATATACTGTGAGTAATATGTGTTTTCCATGATTAGATTACTGTAACCTTAACTACAAGGACTGTATTGCAATTTTTTGTAGTATCCTTGAGCTCCCTATGAACTATAATATGACAGGACGAGAGTAAATGAATTGTTTTCAATTTATATCTAAAGAGAAATTTGTGGAAATTTACAACCCTGCTTGTGCAGTATTCCATGTATACATTAGGCTGAATACACAGTTCATTTTACCGTAAGCATCCTTTCGTTGTAACCGCCATGTTCCTCAGTTTGGAGACGCTTCAGTCTGCCCTTGTCTGACTCAATGAGAACAATGTCTCCAACATGGAAGATGTCCTCCACTGGGGAGACTCTTGTCAGGACATCTGGATTGTAGCAAAGCCTGCAAACCGTTACAGAGAAAAACAAATTATTCAAAATCTCAAATCCACACCGCTTCACTTTACAGTGTCATTGTCAACATGCATTTTCTTCAATTATTACATTATGTTCTTAAAGTTGTGACACAGAATCCATTAGCAGCTAGTTATAACAACTTACTAAAATTCCACAATGTCATAATCTCATCATAATAGTTTCTAACTGGTGTTGCTTTTATTAGAAATAGTAAATTGAAACAAGTCATATCGAAAAAAACATTGTTCACAGGTAATGAATGTATTGTGTATAATGCTTGGCTGGCTTTGTTTATAGTCAAGTTTCATCTATGTTGCCATTGAGAGATGAGATGGGCATTATGGCAAGAATGTTACTAGTACCGATGTAGCAGCTTAACATGTGTGTATGCTAAATAAGATGGGTACCTGTACCATAAAAAACTAAATTTGTCTCACCTTTTCACACTGAATCTGACACTGACATCTCCATCTCTGTCTATGTAACTCACGGAACCAATGGTTCCAATCGCCTGTCAAGTAAAGGTAACTCATTGATTAGCTAACTTGAAGGTAGCAGATACAAGGAAATGTGACCTACTGAAAGTCAAAGATCAAAAGCAATATGCAATCCACCTTTATCGTCACGTATGACTGCACGACATTATAAACTTTATATTACAAGCTTTTGACTGCTATTGAACGAGCAGCATAAAACATCTTATGCCGATTATCAGGCACTTTAACATGATTGTAATGTTTTAATTGTAAATTAACTGTGTTAAAATAAATGACTGTACCTCTTCCATATGGTCCACAAATCCACCATGTCCATCTTGCATTCTTTTCAGTTGTTCTAAGCTGACCCCAATCTTCACCAGGTCACCTCTAGCAATACCAGGATTTGCCACATCCCCAGATCCAAAGGCCTCATGTATGTCTGAGGTATTGTAAGCGTAGAAGGTACATTGGTTAGGGTGCAAACATAATTTCTATACGTGTTAGCATACGTCTATCAGCCGTAAAAAGGCATTATCTTGTAACATTGCTATAGACTTTTAATAATCGAATATCAAGCAATTTTGTCAACCACTGGAATCATTATATCTTTGAAATTAGAAATTTGATGAATCTTTTCTTTAATCCTGAAGTACAGTTCTAGACATAAATTTTTACCCTGTGCAGTCGCCTTTGTGACAAGGGAAATGTTGAGTGGGTATCCTTTGTGCTCAATGCCTACACGCACCAGGTCATTGAATGGATATGTGGTTTGCACCTGTCCGACTTTTCCAGCAGCCTGTAGTATAAATTTAAGACAGTATTGACATTGTTTCAAAACATTTTCAACTGTTTAGATGATATTATACAGTACAATGATAAAGGATACATTGTTCTTGATTGTGTATATGACTAAGAAACTATTGCATCGTGCAATATCTCTCAAATGTTCTTCTTAGGGGTACAACAGGACGAACGTTGAAATGCAATAACTCACGTCGTAGTAGCCTTCATCCCAGTTCACCGTCCTTTCTTGGACATGCTTGATTTTCTTCTTATCAGACTCAACTTTGACCCAGTCTCCAATCTCCATGACACCACTGACGTCCACTACACCACACTCCTCTGGAGACAGTTTCCCCAGACTCAAGGGATTGATGCACCACCTTATATTTAAGTATAGGGAAAAGGCAACAGTCAGCGCCATTGTATTTGACTTTGTTGTGCTTCGTGAGGAATTATCGTTTTGACGCAATAACTTAGTTTGTTGCACACAGCGTAGATTGCCTACCTTGTGCCGTTGGGGTAGTAGACAATCACATCACCATCAATGTCAATCTGATGCACTACACCAACTCGGTCCACCAACTGTTTGTGGTACAATAATATTCAGAATGAGAAAAGCTTGTATTAAAATACTCAAAGTCAGAGAGATAAAGGTGACAAACAATAGAACACTTCACCCATTCCGTAAATTACACTGTAAATCCAAATTTACTGATAATCATAAATCTTCATATCAGTCTTCCTATTATAAAGACAAATATGGGCACCCGTGAATAATTCAATAAAGTTGGTGAATGATTGAAAGTTATTTATTCCGATGAGTCTGTACAACAGTCTGTAGTCTTTATAATGGCAATTGTGACTGCTTTACCGCACGGAAGCTAGGTGTACTGCTAACAATGTTGTCCCAAAGGACTTAACACTTAAGACTACATTGCTAGCAGTAAAACCTCAAATCTTCAAAGACCCAATGAAATTAATTATTTGAGAAAATAATGATATTGAGATAGTTGGTTGAGATAGACTGACCTCAGCCATCTTGCTGACATATCCTCCATGGCCAGCTTGGTTGGTCTTAAAAGTCTCCACATCCAGGTCCACCTTGACCTGGTCCCCCACTATCAATTGGCGTGCAGCAGGCACTTTTTCTACGCTTCCTATGGGAATAAAGGGTTATAAAATACATAAATGCGCATGCAATTATTTATGTCTTGACATGCTGAAAGTGAATAATAAAGGAATTATTCATTTCGGCAACTTGCACAATGTAGTTCTGAACTTAATAAAGGGTGCAACCTTGATTAAAAGTCATTATTAAAATTCGAGGAAGGTTTTTTTAGCACTTACACTTTAGAAGTTAAAAAGGAAAATAAGCAAAATGAAAAATAGCATCCTCAAAAAAATCAGGAATAGCTGCAGTGCAATTGATAAGTAAAGTTCTACTCCAAAACTCCATTTGTTGTAAAGTTTGACGTGCTACTGAACAAACCTTGTAGGGCAGGGGTGAGTGCTTCAGGGTTAAACCACCAACTCTTGTAGTTGATCTCCACCCTAACTTGATCCTTTTTTACTATAAGCACACATCCTGTCTTCCCAAGGGACTGAAATGGGATGTAATTTATTCATGAGATATTCAATACTTTTTGCTAAGTCTTTCCATTAATAAGAAAACTATACACCATAGCCTTTCTGTGTATTCTATTTCATCATCATATATACAATCTATATATTGCAATTATCTTGACATGTAAGTATTGTATACAATAACCTGATATTGCATTGAAATGATGAATAGTATTATACAAAATAATCAATTTTCAGTCAAACTTATGTCTGGAATTGTGTGGTCCATAATGCCCAAGAATATCAATACTGCAGAGGGTACAAGGGTAACTATGCATAAATCATCCTCGTGTGTTTTTACGTGCATGGGTGTGCTTCTCTAATGTGTGGTATGTTTGTGTGGGTTCGTTTGTGTGCATCACAAAAAAGATTAATATCTCTCATATTTGAACATTGCATGTGCGCTGTACATGTTGGTGTGTGTGTGTGTGTGTGTGTGTGTACATGTGTGTCTGTGTGTGTGTGTGTGTGTGTGTGTCTTTGTGTGTGTGTGTGTGTGTGTGCATGTGTGTCTTTGTGTGTATGTGTGTGTGTACATGTGTGTCTTTGTGTGTGTGTGTGTACATGTGTGTCTTTGTGTGTGTGTTTCTAACTGACGTACCGCCTGCATGTCATGCTTATAGCCGCAATGCCCTTGTTGTAGCCTCTTGACCTTTCTTTCGTCTTTGAGCACCTTCACAAGTTCACCTTTTTTAATCCATGATCTGTCTTCGTGCTGGCCAGGTGAGGTCTTTTTTAGACACCCTGGAACCAAAGACCACCTGTAGACATAGGTTTGTATAAATTAGAATAAAATATTTTAAAAGTTACAGGTAAAGAGAAAATTGTTTTTGACGAAATAAAAAAGTGGTTTATTATGTCTCAATGTACAATCATAATTAAAATCAATGTTAGACTGTCACACTATATTAACCTCAAAACATATGGCAGTAGTTATTTTAGTACATGACATTTTTCTCCAACTTCAAGTTACGTTCTATAGCATTTATGGCAATGTGCGGCTATGACAAAATCAATTAAATGTTACTAACTTTACGCCATCTGGAAACTGGACAGTCACACTCTTTTTAGCGGATTGAACAACAGTCCCTTCCACACCAATCACCTAAAATCCAGGCAAAAAAGATGGTAAATATTGAATCACATGAACTCATGGAATCTATATTAACAGACTACAAAAGTGTAGGCAACAGGTTAAGACTTTTTACAGATATTGATATTCTATTAACTATGTAGCTATTATTAAAATCACACAATAGTTTACATTAACAATAGCTGATATATATATAGTCTTACTTTTCGCATTTCCTCATTCCAACGCAGCTTGCTTTCCTCTTGCAGCACACGGAAGGTGTCAGCATCTGTGTCAACGATCACTTTGTCTCCTTTTGTCATGCCGTGTGCAGTTTCCTCTTCCTGTTCTTCCCCAACTTTAAAACAAGTCAGAAAAAATACGGTTAGTATCTATCACAAATTCAAAACACAATTGATTTTCTCATGCTACGTGCACTGTCTATGTTATGCATTATCTGCAACAGACAGACATAGACCGCTTGATCATAATGTTTGGCCTGTGTTTCGTACTATCTACTACCAGTCAATTACGTGTATGTCGCCACCCACGATCAAGAGGGGATGTCATTGTCAGGTACCCAACTTTCGCTGGCTAGCTGGTAGCAAAAAGGATAGGTCACTGTTGGGGATGACAGATATTGGTCATTGATTGCATTTAACAATTGAAGCTTTTATTTGACAATCATTACCATGTCTCTTAGCCCATGCACGGAGCAGCTTTCCGAGATCCCCATCTTCATCGTCACTTTCTTCTTTTGTCTCTCCAGCACAGGCACGACACAGCCCACAGTCTGCACATCCTTCTTCTTTATTTCCACAGCCGCATGGGCTGTCACAAACACAATGAACAATTGAATCATTTACCAAACACAATTGGATCAAAAGTCGAAATAATCTTAGATACATTGTACTTTGGACTTAATGAATTCCATTACAATGACCAACAATAGAGTATTATTATCATGATGATCATGAAGTCACCTACTGCTTTTTATTTCATTTTGTAATAATGGTTAAGTTTAACAAATATTGACAAATTTATTGATTTATGCTCGTATAGGAACGAATGGGTAGTAATTGTTTTAGGCTTAATCCGCTAACACTTTGAGTTGCAAACTCAATTATTTCTTCAAAGTTACAGTTCCCGACTCTGAATATTGTACCATAGGTATCATATAATATGCATATTCTTTCACAAAACAATTTTCTATTAATAGGAGATTTCATTTACACGTCTGTATGGCTGGCTCCTTCGTTGTACAACAATTTGAAAGCGAACTTTATCTTTCATTTACCTGCCAGGAGAACGGAGAGGACTCGCTTTTAAGTTACAGCTGGCCCCCTTGTCTGTACACTGGCCACAGTCTGTGCACACTTTAGCCACACCACGTTTCCAGAAGTGAAGACCTTTCTCACAAGCTTCTCCTGTTTAATATAGCAAAAATGTGTCATTAAGAACACTTTTGATATATTAAATTTTGATTGATGTATAATCCGAAAAAATCATGAACAACACGAAAAGTTGCTGCAATTCTATGACGTTTCGTAAAGTTCATAATTATGTGTAATTTAAAAAAGATCAAACTACTATTCGCTATAACGCCCACAGTGTTGACCTGAAAGTGCATCCTGTGATTAATGTTCATATTGCAGTTCCCTGTCTTTTATTATCAAACAAATTGAATCGTTATCGAGATAAAAGTAAAAAAAATAAAATGTCTAGATGTATTTGTGCACTTCTGTGTGAAATTACCTGGAGCCATTTTCACTTTCCTTAGATCATCGGCAGTGAGTTCCGTTGTCTCTCCTGACATGTACTTGACACAATAGTCACCGCTTACAGTGATTTTCATCACTCGTCCAGGGCTCTGAAATTAATGAAATGTCATAACATCAATAAAATGTTCATGCGATTCCGTTGCTATATTTATATCTTATCGTTGTCAGTTGTCAATGCATATATGCTCCAACTAGGTATCATTCGTGTGTATAACACCTTATTATTTAATGCCATTCATACTATTCCAAAGAAATAAAAACTATGCAACTCTAGAGTCAAATTGGTTTAGAGAATCCTAAGACACAATTGATGAGAAAAGTGTCTGTATGATCCTGTATGGCTCTCTGGCTGCCCCCACTGTCTGACATTCGGATCTTCGTAGAATGCAAATGCAATAGAATACAAGCCGTTCACAATGATTTCAATACATTGCATTTGTGTTGGAACCAGAAATACTGTAGGCGGATGGATTCAGTATGACTGATTTACCTTTATGGTCTTTAAGCGTAAATTTGACAACATTCTACAAATACTTCATTTGCTTTTCAAAGAGAATCATTTCTCAAAAAAAGGGGAGGAAACTAGATTCCATGGCGTCACAAATTTGTTGTAAAAAGTCGCAAAGATTGCAAAATATATAGAATATACACGTTTTCATTATATGTATAGTGATGTATGTATAGTGATGTATGTATATATATTCAATGCACCAACCTCATTGGTCTTAGATATGTCTGTCACCAGGTCCCCTTCTATAATCATGGAGGAATCAGGATCAGCTGCACCAATCCTCTGTAAAGCTGCTGGGTTAACACACCACCTGTAACATTGTATAGTTAGGGTTTCCCTGAAACTGTTATCATACGCATTAAAACCGAATAATTATGATAGTAAACAGATGAGATAACGTACTGAGACCCAGGATATTGACAGATTACATTAGCAAATTTTACTCCCTTGATTTTCTTTGATCTTCTGTATATGTAAATTTTCATGATCAGCCGATGGGTAGAAATAATGATAAACATCATTATCAAATTCCCAATGCAGCATCTCATAACTCAGGGCAAATTCGAGCACCACGAGCATGCTGGAATTCAATGTGATTCTGATATTTTGTTAAAATAGACATAATTGATATTCTGTGTTGAAACATGTAAAGTACAGTCTAACATGTATACACTTTATGCACCAACATGTTACATCATCATATCAAAATAAATAAAGATCGTGATTTTGCACATTGTATGATATTGGATAAAACACTAAATTATACTCACAACTTCTTGTGGCTGTTGAACCGCATGAGCACGTCTTCTTCATCATCAAGTCGAATAACAACTCCATCCTGCTTGATGAACTGAAATTGTATTTAATAATGGCTTCTAGTAACCCTCACATGAGCTTAGAATCTTGGCTTATCCTTATTGATATTGCATAATTCATGTTCTGTATTTCCATTCTTAATTTCAAAATGATGAAAATACACTGTTTCTTTGTGAATTCATCTGAATTCAAAGGTTTCGCCAGAAACCCCCCTGCAGTTCCAGAACAAGCTGCTAGGGAGACCAAACCCACACTACTTATTCCAGGAAAAGCTATCCGCCACTCAAAAATCAAGATCATAGCATGTCCAGGAAAAAAGATGCAAAAACCGCAGTAACAATGTGAGCCACCAGGAGGCCCAAAATTGATCTACTTACATACCAAATATCATTACAATCCATCCAAATGTTCGAAAGTTATGCTGGCCGCAAATGTGCGGAACCACACACACACACACACACACACACACACACACACACACACACACACACACACACACACACACACACACACACACACACACACACACACACACACACACACACACAGACACGCACACAGACAGACACGCCAAAAACAAATCCTCCATTTTTCATGGAAGTAATAAATGTCAAAATTACTTCTCCTAAGTCACCCAGTCCTCCATGGCCTTCCTGCAGCCACTCGAGAGTTTCCACACTGTCTACCTCCAGCCTCACCAGATCACCCTCGTGAATGGCCTTATTCCCTTTGTCATGTGCATCCGCCTCATCTACAGTAAATTAAATCAAAAAGAGAACTATCACTGAACAATTTCATGTCATCATGTGAGTTAGGCCACAGCAAGTAAATTTTATGGATGACATCCTCCGCAGACTCCAAATATAATGTAATGCGGTAGGGTGAGAAAAAAAAACAAGGCGGGCCCAAAAAAACAAGATTGCTACATTTTCAAATGTTGACATTATAAACCTTGTTAAACAAGAAATTATGTGTATATTGTGCTGCAAACTACTACAACATTCATTTCTCACTGGAACAACTGAAAAATAAGTTTTCAATTAGTGTATATCAGTGGTAACATCAAATATACACAGCCACAATCACATATAAAATGAATGAAATACATGTTTCAAAGTAAAAGACAAAACATTACATCAGAGCCATGTCTTGTCTCCTCTATCTGTCATCATCGTTTCATCTTTGCCCATTTTTGGCAATTCAAAAATTTTTACTATTCAGATTATTCAACTAGTCTTGGAGATCTTTGTTCCTTATTAAGATACAAAAGTTAATGACTTTGAACCTATGTTTTCTAATTATCAAATATTGCAACTTGGCTAATATTTTTATCAAATTACTGATCTTTTTATTCAGAAAGAGAAGGATTTTAACCGTTAATCATGTTTTGTTTTGGGATCATGAAAAACCTTATGTTCTTCCTGCTGCCGTGATAAGTTTGTGTAGTGTGTTGGTCAAAAATTACACCTTAATGATGTAGGTTGTATTTCATTTAAACTCACCAACAAATTTTACTGCGACGGTACTTCCATAGACATCTATTGCTGCCCAGATACGGGGTCCAGACACATCTACTCCGCTGAAGAACAGTCCTCTGTCTTTTGCGTTGATGGAGTAGAACACATCTCCTGATGAATCCACCATGAACGTCACCACATTTCCCTGCTGTGCAAGCCTGTCATGAAGGGGCTTTATCCAAAACCCAGGTTTCTGGGCCAGGTCTGGGTAGGAATGTGATGGTAGAGAGTCCTGATCTATTGACCCGGGGTCAGTGAAGGTGAAGCCAACCCTCAATGATCCTGTGAATTTCTTGGTTTCAGTGATCATGAGATGAATCTTCTGTCCGATTTTGCATGGATAGCGACTAAAACAGATTCCACTGCACAAGCTGTTGCCACTGTGAGCAGTCATGCCATCCTGCTCAATGCAAATGTTTTTGCCATGGATTCTTGGATGGAACGTAGGGTAATTTTGACCCAGCTTTAAAATAGGACCTGGCTTTGCCTTGACCTCTGACTCCTGTTTCTCCATCGATGTTTGGCAACTGACTGATGGGGTTAGCACTGCAGATCTAGAGTTGTTTGTCCCTCGACTACCAAGTGGGCCATTCGACTTGGCTTGACTATTCTGAATATCCCTCTCTGAGTTAGGACTAGGCAATGAAAGCTCAGTCACCGTCAGCCTTGAATCTGCACAGTCGTTTTTCACTTGAGTAAGGCCAGTAACGGTTTTCTGTGAGGATGGTTCTTCAAGTGAAACACTTGCAGGGTTGTCGTTTTTAGCTGTCAGTGAACCAGAGATACAAGCAACTGGGTTAGCCTCTTCAGCCTTCACACCTGTAGTGGAAGACTGTTCAGAACTCACTACCGGCTTTTCACTTGAGCCATCTCGACCTTCGCCCAATTTGTCTACAGCTTGGTCGACTAGCTTTTTTTCTTGTGAGGGATCTAACTCTGAAGTCTGACTTATTTTCACTGGAGAGGGGTTAGGAGGGAGTATGGGAATGTTCTTCTGCAATGGCTCCCAGTCTGGTTTACCCATGATGTAACCTGCAGCCTGGTTTGTTGACTTGGGGGATTCAGTGCCTGGTTTTATATCCATGCCAGGCATGGTCAAAACAAAGATATTTTCCAACTCATTTTTGAGACTGGACCGCTCTTCCTCAAGATTTCTGAGACGCTCCTGCAGCATCACAGCATAGCAGTCTATCTTTGATGGCCCAATTGCCAACTCATCTGAGCCCCTCTGTTGATGATAAGCAACCTCATGGTGGTAGGAAGGATAGGTACCCCTAGGAAGGTAGCTCGTCTGAGGGTTACTGGTTCCTTGGTTGAATAACCTCTCTGGTCTGGTCTGATGCTGATGGCTGTAGACAGCTTCTCTTGGCAGCCTTCCTCCACTGTACGACTCATAGCCAGAGCTCTCCGTCTGGGGAACATCGCCTTGTCTAGGGAATGATTTTCTTCCCTCATATGATATGTACCTTCTGTCTTGCTGATGACCATAATAAACCTCTCTTGGCTGCTCTCTACAGTAATATGGTGTGTGGGGGATACTTTGGACGGAAGGCTGGATTGGATCTGGGTATTGTGCACCTGTCGAATTACATCCACATGCCTGCTTGTCTGTTGGTTGATTCACTTGGCATCCTTCATGTCTTTCCCCCGAGTCTTGTTGCCACGAATGGTCTGCATTGTTGCTGAGATGCTGTGTGGAGCTATCTTGAGCTCTTTTGTAACTGTCCCTTTCTCGGGGAGGTGTTGTTGGTTCTTGGGGGACAGGAGAAGTGGTTGACTCTGGAGCTAATGACGTAAAGCAATGTATCATTTATTGGAACAAAGCTTGGTTCTAGGGTACACCTCAAGCATGTGCAAGAAACATCATTAGAAAATTTTAACAGAGAATTTAAACAGAATATAACAGCTACACGACTCATAACTTACGTTTTGTATCTCATGCGGATTGTTAAAACTAAAATTGTAAACAGAAGTTACATTAATTTTTTAGACATTTTATGGTGTATTGCTGAGTAACAGGATGCATAAAAATTTGGGTGTACATTTGGTGAAAACAGCTATTTGCATGTTAATAGTATCGCTGTGTTATGTGTAATTATGTTTACCGAAGGAAAACATCGTTTTTGCTCTGTTTCTTCGTCCTCTTTTTCTCCAAACAAATAAGGTCACTGACCTGAACCATATATACGTCTGTCACAATAACTGGTGTTTGGTGACATCATGTTGCAATCTTATTGTGGGAGGAATTTAGACTCCCGTCGCCATATATATGAATGTGTTTTGAATAAGAATTAACAGAGCAGACCACATGCGAAGGCAAACATTGTGCCTTTGCTTTGCAAATGTTACCTTTCTACGCACTTACCTTGCAGAGATGTGCCTTGGTCTTTGCTGTGTTTGATAGGAGCGCACTCACAGTAGTCACACCTTACACTGTTGCCGCTTGGCTGAAATTCGGTGCAATCTTCACAGTTTCTGCATCCCCATCTGTAAATTCCATTCTTGTCCTTTCCCATTGTAGTCTTCTTGTGTGGGATATAACTCCTGCTTATAGTCTAAAGAAAGAAACAAGACCTACCGTTAGTCATAATGATTATAGGCATGTTGATGAAACTGTCAAGTGAAAAAAATGTGTGGAAAGGGATTTCAATAATCTAAGATCAATTGTTATAAAAGCAGGATTAATTTCACTCAGTATGGCATGATGTCACTTTATGCAATGTACATGTCGTATGCAATTTTTTTTCACTATTAATAAATCACAGAATTTTCACATTTGTCATGCAAATTAGGTCATAATTTGCATAATTGGTATCTTTTGATGTTTTCCCTGCCATAGATTACATAACATGTATGCACGTACTATTATGTAAAACACTGTAATTACAGAATTTCCTCCTAAATAATGCAAATTTAAGTCTTCATTTGCATAATTTGTATTCATTTTTTTTAATTATTTTGCATGCATCTCCATAACGTACCTACATAACAAAAATGATGAAAATATTTTGTTCCTTTCTTGACTTATCCACCTTAAAAGATTTGGCCAGAAACTCCCCTTCAGTTCCAGAACAAGCTGCTTGGGGGACAAACCTCACACCACTTATTCCTGACGGGAAAAGCTATATATATATATACATATTGCCACCAAAAAGTCAAGACCATAGCATGTTCAGAAGAAAAAGATACAAAAACCGGAAGTTCTGCTGCAGTACCAAGGTCAGCCACCAGGAGGCCCATATTTGACCTTGACCTTTGCCTTCCTAGTAAGAGCTACCAACGTATCAAATATTATCACAATCCATAAAGGCGTTCTGAGGTTATGCTGACTATAAGTATGCGGAAACACACACACACGCGCAGACAGGCCGAAAACAATACCTACATTTTCATAGTCCTATTATCGAATGCTCAAAAAATGCAAAAAAAATACTCCATCAGTTCCTGGACAAGCCAGGGGGACTAAACTATTAAATGGCAGTTCTTCCCGAACACAAGAGCCATTTTCCATGGAAAATCCGTGACCCTAGCATGTCTAGATCATTAGATATCAAATCCACCATTCTACTGCAGTACCAAGGAAAGCCATTAGGGGGCCCAATGTCTAACGATGTCGAGATTTGGGGCCACCCTATCCACACACCAAATATCATTAGATTCCATTCATACCTTCTTGAGTTGTTCCCAAACAAACATAAATACAAACGCTACAGAAAACATAACCTTCTTGGCGAAGGTAAAAATACTTGCCATGATTGTTAATCCGGTTGCCACCAGCAAAGATTTCATCATCATCATTTGCAATATATCATACTCCATTTTACATAACATCCCCACGATGAGTCACTTGCCTACATTACAATTCCCAAATTTTAAGCACTAATGATATACGTATATTGTCAGGCTTGTGTGCCGCTAATTTGTGTTGATGTGGGAATTATCCTGGGTACCATCCTGGTTAGTCAACGTCCGCTCCCACATTCGCTACCGACCGCCGCGAATGTGGTAGCGGTCGTTAACTAACCAGGATGGTACCCACACTAGTGGGGAATCCCCTCGATCGGGAAGTCCCGGCGAGATGACATCACAAATTCCAAATTCTAGAAGCTTCTTAGCCCTGGCCCCACAAGCTTAGGCCGAGCAACAGGTGAGTGTCGGGTACATCAGCACTGTTGATCATACGTTAAGTTTATACGTTGAAACATTTCAGCAGCTTATTCTAAAATCAAAGCATATAGTGAAGTAGGTAGTGGTTTAAAATACGCGGGGTTGTAATCGCGTGATAGCTCTGTCTCTTGACCCGGAAATGCTGCGCCCAAGGGTGGCGTGTTGGACCCTATCTGGCCGCAATGGATACTGCCTGTCCAATTTCTTGCTGTCTTTCGGAATTCCCACCCTAGGATTTGCTTGGAGTTTACAAATTTAATCTGCTGACGGAAGTTGTGTTTAGGCAGACTCAAACACCGAGTTCACATGGCCTGAACAGGACCACATTGTATTCCTGCCCGGGTCACGCTACGCATATATATTTGTTTCTTACCTTCTTTGTGCAGTGTAACAAAGGGAGGGGTTCTGCGGCATTGGGGTGTGGGGTATCGTTTTTCCTTTTATTTATTTGAAAAGCTTGGCACGTACACCAAGTTACACTTTATCAGTAGGTACGCAAATAATCACGCCTAAGCGGTTCACAGGTAGCATTAAATTACAGCATGTATACAGGATGTCCCAGAACTCTTAAATGTTTTGATTGCAGAATTGTACGGAAAGTGCTGATTATTTACTGCAATTACCATACTAGGTTTGGGGACTAGGTAAATGGCGGTAAGGTAAATCATGAGAATAAGCAATTAGTATTGCTGATGTTATGGTACAGTTTGAGCCACAGATAAAGTATTTAATGTTATTAGGCAAAAACAAATCGGATATACCTGTCACACTTCCTATGATTTGAGCTGAATTTTCTACACAAGCTCATATTAGACCGGGCTTTTTCCGGCATTATGACTGATTATGCACATGTACAGTGCCTTCACACCGAAGTGTGGTAATATAAACACCTTTGTGAAAATCCTCTCATTCGGAAAGTCCCAGCTCAATATATTTTACCACCCATCAACTTTACCTGCACTTCGACTAACACCTGCATGGGGCGTTAAAATGACACGCAATACTACAAGCACACTAGCGGTTACGCTGGACTGCGTTGTGAGTTTACTGAAGTTGAAAGGATATAAGATTGGAACGCTTATCATTATATGAATGTACCAAATATTGCTCACCATGCAATTGCCTTACACTAGGTTGTGCGCTCTTTCCAAGTTTCAGGAATGACAAGTCAGGTTTTTACGCTGTCATGTGCTATGTGCTATTTATATGCCACTGAAATATGCCACTGTATATATGCCACTGTTTATATGCCACTGAAATATGCCACTCTACAACTGTCTAGTGGCTTGGATACCTGTGTCCTCAGATAGCCAAGTTCACATTTACCTAGCTAGTTGACTTAGTTACCCATATTTCTACGCATTTTCTACGCAAATGATTACGTCTCAGAGGTTCACAAGTAGCCTTAAATAAACATTATGTCATGTATACATAAAATCCCAGAATTCTCTGTTGTTTCAAAGCAGAATTTTACGGAAAGTACCGATTAGTAATAGCCAGCCAGGGTCCTAGACGGGCTGGTGAAATTATGACAATAAACTCTCGGTATGACCGCCAGCAGTGGAAGACCTTGGCCAGCCATCATGCTGCCCCGACGGCAGACTGAGCGCGCGAGAGAGGGAGAGAGAGAGAGAGTGAGAGAGATTACTTGTATCGAAGTACAGTTTGAAGATCAGATTATTTTCTAATTGAGCGGAAGCAATGGCTGATATACCTGTCACACTAGCTATGTAAATTCTAACGTCATTGGTTACACACAAGCTCGTATCTCCTTCCATAAATAGTTTCATCAGGTTGGTAAGTCACTGAATAAAGAGACTCTTCAACTAGAAAGGCCAATATTTGCTTTGGAGCAAATACAGCGATGGGTTCACCACATTTTATGACATGGCAGGGAAAGAATGAGAAACACAAGGGAAAACAATGATTTACATTGATATAACTATAATATGAAGTAACATACAACTAAAACAACAGTTGGATAGCTATTCCCTACTTTATTGGTTAGGATTTTTAATTGCATAATGCAAACTGTTGATTTTCAAAATAAAAAAAAAACGTTCATTCCAATGCTGGAGCAGAAAAGCTTGAAATACCTACCAAAACACTTGAATAAAGACATACTGTCAGTATGGAAATGCTCTGTGCAGGTGTTAATCAAGTTAAATCTCTGTCTGTATCTGTATCTGTATAGCCGGTATAACCGCCTTTCGGCGTAACACACCAGCTTCGCAGGCACGCGGCGCGGCGGCGCGCTGGCTATATTACACCGATCGACTTGTTACACCTAACCCTTGAACTTCTAGCTCTAGACATTGTTTAAAGCTATCTATTGACAGTGCCCCTACTGTACTTGGTGACAGTGAGTTCCACTCTGCGATAGTTCTAGGAAAGAATGAATTCTTGAACACCTCAATCCTTGGTTGATAACTCTGGTACTTGAATGCGTGGCTATTTCTTGTTCTCTTCTGAGCTGGTATTAGGTACTTAGTAGTTGGGACATCCACCAGTTTATTAGTCATTTTGTACATCATGCATAGTCTAGACATCTTTCTTCTGTCTTCAAGTGAGGTCCACTGTAGGTTTCTTTTCATTTCCGTGACACTAGCACCTCTTACATAGTTGTTCATACAGAATCTTGCAGCTTGATTCTGTACCCTTTCCAATTTGTCTTTGTCTTTCTTTGTATATGGATCCCATACTGTCGCAGCGTATTCCAAGGTTCGGTCTTACAAGTGACGTGTATGCAAGTGATTTTACTCTCGTTGGACATGCCCACAGATTACGTTTAATCACTCCCAATGTCTGTTTCGCCTTAGTTGTGATATTATTAACATGTGCACCCCACTTCAGTCCGCTTGTCAGCTTGTCCTCATCCCAACAGCCAATCACAGCAAGAAATGCTCTGTGCAGGTGGAAATGCTCTGTGCAGGTGTTAATCAAGTTAAATCCCAACAGCCAATCAGCAAGAAGTATAGAGGAAAGCTGCATGCCTATTGGTTGATGCCCTGCATTCCATTGTGATGACTCATGCCCAGACGTGGTAAACACGGCACACTAACACAGTAATACATTTGCTATAACACAGCCAAAAAAACTCAAATAAAACCATTCTAAAAGCCTGTATCACAAAAATTTAAAAAACGCCTAGGGGTATTTG